GGCGTACATCTAATCATCTCATTTCTTAAAGGAACGGGCGTGGTAGGTGACTGAGCATAGGGAAGACTTATGGTGGATCTATTCAAAGACATGGTACTTCCTATACTTAAAGTTGGAGACACAGCACTATTCACCAAACTGTTAACACTCTCTCCGCTGTATTTTATGTTGGTGTACTCTCGTCCAACTTGTAACGATTTCTAATTGGGAAAGAGAAACACATGCAATATAAACGGGAAAAATTGCTATAATTGAGTTTATTCATTATTATTAAACGTAAAATATAATTTCACTTTCAATAAATAAATTAAAAGAAAATACCTGTTCAGCCTTAATTCTTTCTGTGGTAGTTTCAATGTGATGTTGCACAGCCAAATAAACAAACTTATATTGCGCTTCTGTTTGTACCATTCCAGAACGCTGAGATCTAACCATTTGTATGGTACGTTGAATATCAATTTCACAGTCTAAGCCTAAGATACAAAAAATAAATAATTACATATTACCACGATAGTTCTGATATTCAAACAAGAAGTGACTATTTGAAGAAAGTTCAATATTCGGCCATGGTGAGTCTACGGATGGAGTTGTTCATCCGACGTTTCGCCAGCCGCTGAGGTAGGCATCCTCAGGGAGCTTGGCGATAGACGACTCTACTCTATCCGCAAACTTACTGAAGGAGAACCAATAATAGATCGTGGTTATCATTCCGAATATTGAACCCTTTTCAAACAGCACCAACCGTAAAAAGTTTAGCCTTTTGAACAACTCACCATGTTTTTGTATTTGGTCCAATATCATGTCTATAACTATAAAAGTCCCAGTCCGTCCGATTCCAGCTGAACAGTGCACCAAAATAGCTCCTGGTGCTTTATCCTCAGGAAGTTCTTGAACCAAAGACTCCTGCTTTATGTTTACCTCATGAAGGAAATTTAACACACAGCCCGGATCGGATGGGACCCCGTGATCTGGCCAAGCCTGTAATCAGAAATAAAAATTAAAATTTTTAAAAAACCAAAACGTAAATAAAGACTATCTTGCCTGAAAATGATATTGAAAAACTTTTCTTTCTTCTGAAGAATCATCCATACTAACTGACAGCTCCCTCAATGTATAATGTGCGGTTGATGACTCATTTATATTTTTGACTTTAGTTTTCCCATATTCCTTGGTGGTCCCCGGTTCTGGCCAGTATCTTGCACATTTATTCTTTCCTCTTTCTATTTCTTTGGTTGTCATAACAATAACTCGACAATTTTCTTGCCAAACCATTTTCCAAAAATCAGCTACCGTTGATGGCAAACAGCCTAAAGTAAAATATAATTGTAAAATGAATTGGTTTCTATTTTTTGCCGATTTTTGCAAGTACCTTGAGTGGCAATATAAACTTTCCCACTTGGGTCTCCTGGTAAATCAGGACTCGCCACATTTTCATCCCACTTAATATAATTGGCGTTAATGTAATCTGATCCAGGAACATTTGGATCAGCATCCATTAATTTCACTCTAGTGTGATCAACTGGAATAAATCGTTACATAAAAAAACGAAATTTTCTTTTAAACCAAAATTTGCTTACATGGCAAAATGTTCTTATATCTATTTTTATTCCTATTTTCTATTTTGATTCCTTCTTTCCTGGAGTACAAGTGTTTAAATTCTTGTTGTTGTAAAGATTCGAATTCTTCCCAAAAACCCGCTTTACCGACACTGTTAGCACCATTTTCTTTCTAAAAAAGGATGTTATCATTTTTAAAAGTCGATTTTGTGGAATAGGTAAATTACATAATCAGAAAAACCCAAGTTCGACTTGAAAAAGCTATGTAACAACCTAATGCATGTACCACTTTAATAGTTACTTGTTGAATTATTTGAAAAACAATAATTAAAAAAATGCAGTATGATATTACTGATATTGTAAAATATAAACATTACGAACAATTCTAAACTAATCGGTATCTAAATATAGAACAAAATTCCTACTATTATGGTATTGCATAACATAAAAGCAAAACCGCAATGTTACGCACTGTTTTTTTCTGCAATACAGTAATAAATTGTTTACTATCGGTTTTTTTTTAACATTATTAATAATGAATATTTGAAATTATACGTAGAAGAAAAAAATTAACTTTAATTCAAGGATGCGTTTAAATTAATTTATCACTAAAAATACTGCTTCATTATGGCTATTTACCTGCAATTGCTTAACTCTACTGTGAATACCCGAAGCACTTATTCTAGTAGCATTAAAAGGCTGCTTTAAATGTACCACGGTACCAGAAGTCTCCACCATTGGATTCTTTTTATAATGTTCAATGAGATCTGCTAAACTATCAAACTTTTCACCGCCTCCAACATCGTATTTGTTATCCTTCAAGAATATAAAATGATCGCCGTTATTTTATAAAACTTTATACACATATAATAATGTACTTAATGAAATATTCATTCATATTATGGAATATCTTTTTATAACATACCGGCGTACATCTAATCATCACGTGAGTAACTCTATCATCTGTCCTGACAGACAGGACGAAATCGCCTGGTTTTGACTGACTTTCGCGAACCAAAAAACTACCGTTCTTGCCCCGTTCCAAGATCAATTTTTCAGCTTCCTTTCCCGATAAATGTCCATGGAACCATCTGAAAGAACAATTTTACATTTATTTACCTTTACAACTTTCTTCATACTAGTTTCTAATTTGTTGCTAAAGAAAATGGAAGTAGTCTAATATAACAAATGGCTTGACCTTCGTGTATTTACAGTACAAATGTTAATAAAACGTCGCTATTATATATTATTCTAATTAGCACATATCTTTATACAGTCTGTATTTATTTACACTTCGAATAATTACCAATTAAAATAACTTTGCTTGCGATACCTTTTTAGGAATGGTAAATGATACTTATGCGAAACTAAAACAGTGAATACAATTAACAGCCATTGGTTTTTTAATCTGTAATTATTATTGATTTCAAAATTTTGTTTCAGAAACCCAGGAATTCTAATTTCAGGAATCTGCAAATCGGTAAGTTTTTTCAATGTTTTATATCTTTCAGAGAGAAATGAACTAGTGAAATTATGTCTTTTCTGAATTAATTTATAAAATATAAGTATGTTCTATACATACATGGTAATAAACAAACAGGAATGGAAATCCTGTAAACATTGCAATTGAAAAGTTTTATCATGTTAAGATATTTTCTTGACAAAAAAAATTAGCTTTTTGTACTGTAATCTGAAACTTCTTTTTAATTATTTGTTAACACTTTCTGTTACCATTTTCGTTTCTGAAACTCTTAGCACCAAGTTTGGTACGTTCCTTAGGTAGATGCGTGCAAAAATTGGTGTGCCTACCTGACTATTATCACGTAATATCATGAAAAAATTGTCCAGTTGACACTGTCATTACTGCTTTAATTAAGCAACGAGAGAAACACAAGAATGACAACATATTTTTTTTAAGTTGTTGTACGTTATTGTAATATTTAATAAGCAAGGGAAGAATGCAAATATGTAGTTCCATTTCCGTTCAACAAAAACGGCGTCCACCTGTATGAATAAGGTGGATCCATTTTAGTCAGTAGCCAAGGTGAAAAACAAATTGCTATAATAAATAACATTTTCTAGAGTAGCGACTGCGTCATTAATAGTTTACACACCATATACTTGACGGTGATCTATCTTAAATCATCCTCAGTTTCGTTTTTTTTTTACGCAGTAACACCTGTTTGTTTGTTTGTTTGTTTATCGAACTCTATTAATATTAACATTATTAATTATTTAAACATCTTCACATCAGAAAAAAATCACTACACCATCTAACAAAATTACTTTTAAAGTAGAAATTAAATTTTTTTTCTGTACTCTGTTATGAATCTTTTATTTTATTACTATTTATAGTAATTTTTACCTTCTTTGTTATTAAGAATATTGCTTCCATTATAGGTACAATTTATTCTAATAATGTTATTCGAAATGCCATAATTTTTCGCTAATTTTATTGAAGGACCATATCATAAATTTTTCCACTGGTATTGTAAGGGAAAAAGTGTATGATTCCATTTATTTTTTACGTAATGGCTAACTCATGCAAGGTGAAAATATAAATTGCTTATACATATAAGCATTCTTTTCGTTGTAGTAATGAACTAAAATGAAATTATTCATTGTTTTTTCCTAGAAATAACATTACAGTTGTCTTTTTTATTGTATTCAAATATAAATCTAATGCATGCTTCCTCGTACAGCCATTTGTAAGTAATTAAAATCTTTTATTACCGTTTATAAACAAGAACCGTTTACTCAAACCTGAATATGCATAGAAATCTAAAAAATAATAGTTTATTACTACCTTCTCCTGCTAAACTTTTTAACTATTGGTCTCAAAGGAATTATAACTAGACTTTTGTTTTTGAAATTATACTGCAGTATTTCCAAAATTATTCTCAATTTAATTGTTATTATGATTGCTGCTATTGTTTACATACCAAGCAATAAAATGTAATGTGTGCCATGAATAATGTATGACAATTTTGTTAATACTAAACATAAGTTTTTTTTTTAAGTTAATAATGACGGACAATAAAAGAATTGACCTTCACCTTGATTTGTACAACAAACAGGTGAAGGAAGATTTATTTATTACATTATGTATAATCATATTTTTTTTTCACTATGCATATTGCCTATCTCTTATATTTCCCTATTATAATATTAATGGAACATAACAATGATCTGAATAGCAATTATTTTATTATGCAAATTGTCATAAAATCGGTTAAAAACAAAAAGTTGTCTTATAAACAACAAAATCTATTTAACCGTAAAAAAATAAAAAAACATTTTTATAACAAAAAAGTGACCTTAATATTATATTAATTTTCAAAACGTATATTTCGTAAGTTTTAATTTTGCATATACTCTAGAATCAAACCTATTTCACAAACCAATTAACTACAAATAATAACTTGCCAGCAACATTCGAGAACAAACTTTTTGTAAAATGCCTAATAGTACCAAGTAAACTTATTAACAACAAATATAAATTTCAAATGAATCTATAAATAAGCTCAGTAATTTCGTATTTTCTATTAAAATTTATAAAAAGTATCCAATAGGTAACTAATTAATTAAGTTATGTAAACATAATCCAATAATTTGTTGGTTTATTTCTAGAGAACGTTTTTCGCAAAACAGTTGCATACAAATGTATGATTCTAATTTCACAGAAATTTATGCGAATATACAATATCACATATTCAAAACAATTTTGCATTACTTTGTAATATTTGTTTTCACTTTCTGATTTTCACCGAATACCAGACCTACACTATAATTAAAATACTGGTCATACTCAACATTTTTTATATAATATTTACCAGTTTGTGTATGAAAAATGTTATAGATTCAACTCACTGCCCACATAAATTCATACACTTCTACTTAGCAATCTATCAAACAAAACTACGAAAACTAAACGAACTCAATTCAGAAGTTACGACGTACGACGATTTACAATTTAAATTTTTGAGTAAATTATGCTAATTCCTCTGTGTTTGAACAAAAAAAAATTGTAATCCAAGGTCAAAAATAAATGTTTGATTAAGAAAAATTGTAAACAATAAATTAAAAATGCGATAAATTTTAAAGGTTTTAATTAGTCTTGTGTGGTAGGACTTTAATAACTACCTGCCTTTAAAAAGCCTCCTACATTAGCCCTTTCAGGACTAACTTGAAAAAAGTTATTAAAAAGCACTTTACTAAAGTACACTTTGGTATTTTTTTTATATATCATTGGACACAAGAGCAAAAAATCAGGAAAGCAAATACAAAAATCAAAATATTGGAATATTCATCAAAGCAAAAAAAATGTTTGCGAGTGCATGGATTAGAATTTTAAGTGTTGTGCTGAACGAAAAGAATAAATCCTTACTTAAAATATACTAGCGCCCTTCTGATTTCTCTTATAGCAGTAGATATAATAATTTGGGCAGCGGGAATGGCCACAATAGACGCGTCAACCTGTATAGGGTCAGGCGTCATATTCTTGATATACATCGGTCCTTTCAAAAACTCACAGACTTTGTTCGGCGGAAAACTTTTCAAAACTTTTTTCGTCAGAAAACTTTCGAAAACTTCTACCGGCGATACCGGTCGCGTAGCTATTTAATGTACAATAAACAGTATATTGACTGGTCGCGCTCAATAAATGCTTGATCAGTACTGCAAACGTGGATGACAAAGTGGAGACCGTGAGGTGAACCTAATACCTGCCCCTGGTGGTAGCAAGTGGGGGGCGAAACTGGCGTCGAGGCAATACCGGCATGAATTTACGACTTCTGTATCATAAATGGATACATTTAAGGTAAATCGGTACGCGGATCGAATCGCTAATTGTTTATGATTCATGCGAACGATGGAAATAAAAATCACAATCCTTTTCTTCATATCAGGACATCGTCGCGATAGTAAAAGGAAGTGTATCGCACCTAGGATTCTGGGGTTACACAGCTGTTTTTATACCTACCTTGACATTGCTGAAAACTAGAGATTAAAATTGGTTTAATTCAATTGATTACCATCTATTAATAAATAAATTTTCAATTACAATATAGTCTCAGTAAATACATGAAAATCACTGATTTGACCTACAGATTGAAAGGTTAACGTTCCAGTAAAGTTTTTGAATTGAATACAAAATTTGAATTTTCATAATGAAAACGTTTATTAACTAAATAAAAAGTCAAAACTGAATAGTTTCTCAAAAAAATCCTACAATAAATAATGTATGCAACAAAGAAAGGTTGTTAAAGGTGTATATTTGGAGCGCGGTGTTATACGGGTGCGAAACATGGACAGTGGGCGCGGCGAAAAAGAAAAGATTAGAAGCTTTCGATATGTGGTGTTATAGGCGAATGATGAGGATAACGTGGGTAGAAAAGGTTAGAAATGAAGAGGTATTGGAAAGAATAGGAGAACAGAGGACTCTACGGAAGTCGATAAAAAATAGACGAGATAAGTTGGTAGGACACCTTCTCAGGCATGAAGGTTTAGTCAGAGACATATTAGAGGCAGAAGCGGGAGTTAGGAGGGGTAGAGGTAGACCTAGATTAGATTACTTTTCGCAAATAGTTAAGGATGTGGGCTGTTCTAGTTTTAGGGAAATGCGAAGTTTAGCTCAGGATAGGAAAGAGTGGAGGTAAGTGTCCAACCAGTCTTAGGACTGACGACCTTATGATGATGAATAGTACTATGGCATTTCCCGGCTAGTTTCACAGGGCTCGATTAAAATAGAACAACTTTCTTTATTTCCCGTTTTGAAACTGGTGACAAAGCATTGAACATTCAATAAGGCCAGAACGCAGAAAAGAAACACCAGCCGCGAAAGCCTACACTTGCATAGGTATGTACAATTGGTGAAAGTTTAGTCAAACTAGAATCGAATTTCCGATAGTTTTACTGCATAAATACGAAACATTATTTGGATCTTGTAAATGTCAAGTCAATTTACATATAATTTTATGAATCGTTTTTATAACGTGCAAGTAAAAAGTTATTTATGGCCAAAATCACGCTTCTAACATAAAAATCATTGGACATAATGTGTACACTTCTACATTTATTATTTTGTAAGTGT